TAGTGTATGGCCACCCTTATACACCTAAAATTAACTACATAGTTAGTCTGGCTGAAAAAAAAAAAGACAAAAGTTCAACCATAAAAAAAAAAAAAAAAGTTATAATCCTTCATCCACAGTTGATCTAGAGGATGGCAATAAAACCCAGCAAAGCATGATCCAATTTGCTCCCACAGGGGAAAAATTCCTTCCGAGAGGCAATCGGATATTTCCCGGATCAACTTTACCTATAAATGTTAGTATCCAGTTATATTCTGTGTATCCAAGAAATAATCCAGGCCTTTTTTAAAGCAATCCACTGAGCTGGCCAGAACCGACTCTTGAGGGAGTCTATTCCACATTTTCACGGCTCTTACTGTGAAGAAAACCTTTCCGTATTTGGAGATTCAATTTCTTTTCCTCCAGATGTAAAGAGTGCCCCCTTGTCCTCTGTGATGACCTCAGGGTGAATAACTCTACACCGAATACACTTTATGAGCCACTGATATATTTATACATGTTGATCATATCCCCCCTTAATCTCCTCTTCTCAAGAGAGAATAAATTCAGTTCCTCTAATGTTTCCTCATAGCTGATCTCCTCCATGCCTCTTATCAGTTTGGTTGCCCTTCTCTGTACTTTCTCCAGTTCCCCAATGTTCTTTTTGTGAATTGATGCCCAAAACTGAACTGCATATTCCAGATGAGGTCTTACTAATAATTTGTACAGGGGTAATATATGATATCTCTCTCTATGGAGTCTATACCTCTTTTAATACAAGAGAGGATTTTGCTCACTTTAGAAAACTTGGCAGCTTGGCATTGCATGCCATTAGTAAGCTTGTGATCTACCAGAACTCCCAGATCCTTCTCCACCATTGATTCCCCCAGTTGTACCCCCCTAGTATGTATGATGCATGCATATTCTTAGCCCCCAAGTGCATAACCTTACATTTATCAACATTAAACCTCATTTTCCACATAGTTGCCCAAATAAACAGTGCATTGAGGTCGTTTTGTAAATTGGAGACCTCCTGTAAGGGCATTATTCCACTGCACAGCTCGGTGTCATCTGCAAATACTGAAATGGGATTTAAATTCCCAGACCCTATATCGTTTATAAATATATTAATGTATTAAAAAGTAAGGGTCCCAACTCTGAACCTTAGATTACACTACTGACAACCCTAGACCATTCAGATTATGAATCCTTGTAGACTTTACCTTACACATTAGCTGTGTGTGGGGAACTGTGTCAAACGCTTTTGCAAAATCCAAGTATACCATGTCCTCCGCCACCCCTCTGTCCAAGGTTTTGCTCACCTCCTCATAAAAAGAAATCCGATTTGTTTGACTTCTGTCTTTCATGAATCCATGCTGTCTGTTGCTTAAAATATTTTTTTCCAGCCAGAACTCATCTATGTGGTTACTTTATTAAGCTCTTCAGTATCTTCCCAACTATAGAAGTTAAAACTAACAGGTCTATAATTACTTGTTAAAGATTTTGACCCCTTTTTAAATATTGGCACCACATTGGCCTTACGCCAATCCAGTGGTACTATGCCAGTCATTACAGAGTCTCTAAAAAATTAGAAACAATGGTTTGAAATGACAGAGCTCAATTTTTTTAAGGACCCGTGGGTGTATGCCATCCGGTCCAGGTGCTTTATTCACCTTTATACTGTCTAAATATTTTTGGATCATATCAGTTGTGAGCCAATGTGGATCATCTAGGGCTGTGTCAATACCATGCCCATTATGGACAAGAGCTCCCCCAGGCTCCTTTGTATACACAGAGCTGAAGAAGGTATTTAATAAATTTGCCTTCTCTTTGTCCCCAGTCACCTACTCTAGATTACCGGTCCGGACCGGACCTTTTTACCATTAATATATTTGAAGAATTTTTTGGGGTTTGTCCTGCTATCTTTTGCAATCAGTCATTCGTTTTCAATTTTTGCAGCCTCTATTTCCTTTTTGCATATTCTGTTATATTTTTTGTACTGTTTAAACGATGATAGCGTTCCTTACTAGTTGCCCTTTCAGTGTCAGTAATTGTTAACGGCACACCAAACACAGAAACAAACACACATTTTGCCATGAGTGACAAATGCAGCAAAATGCACAGTAAAAAAACATGCACCTCACATCACACCAAAATGCCTCATGAGCTGCTTTGCTACGTGTAGCGCAGTCCATTGAAATAAACGGGCAGCCCTATGTGTGTCGTTTGAAAAATGAGCCACAAAACATGCACTCCCACTACTCTAGGTGTGAATGGGGCCTGAAAGTGAAATTGGTTTGTTTACACAGAACAAAGAGGCTCCATTCACATCTTCATGTTTCTGAACACAGGGCAAACTGCACAGAAAATGTGTGCTTTTCCATGCGTTCCAGAAAACACGCTGCAAATCTGCATTGTGTTTGTGTTGTCATTACATGTTAAAGGCATCCCAAGAGAGGTAAACAAACCAAAAACTGTGGTAACACGCCATGCTCCGCTGCAAAAAACGTTCTGGAGCTTCTCTGGGGTAATTGTTGTGTGTAGGGCAGCCCATTCTAGTGAATACACTGCCCTATGCTTGACAAGTGAAAACTCTCCAAAACAAACTTATGCGCATTGTGAGTTTTTGCTATGTGGAGATGTGAACGGGGCCCTACAACTGGAGTGTCTCTGTCCACTCCCTCCTATGGAATGCCATACACTATGCAATCTGATTGTACAATTTCCGTTAGATTTACCAGAACTATGGAATAGGAGGACACACCTGAACAAATCCATTCAATTTGTATCAAATCAGACAGGCTCATGTATTACATAGCTGATGGGAGATCTAAAAGAGATTGTACAATCAGATTGTAAAGAAAGTGGGTGGAAGCAAGGGTGGACTGACCATTTGGAAACTGAGCACTGCCCGAGGGCCTGGGGTCAGTAGGGGGCCCCATGTGATGCCCCTGGTACCTTTTTCATAGGCTTTTTTGAGTTTGGGCAAGGACACAGGGGCCCCATGATCCCCTATTGCCCGGGGGCCCCATGAGTTGTCAGTCCGCCCCTGGGTGGAAGGTAGTGTTGTAATGAGGGAGGTGTGGTCCAGAGTGGTGAACACACCCTATCACACCCTCTTCTGCGATGCAGCAAGGAAGTGAAGGCTTCTGGGAGATGACCTACAGAAAATGAATGCGGAGAGATGATCTACAGGAAGTGATGGAATCTAAAAAAATCATTTAAAAAATTCAAATAAACTTGACAAGATTTTAAACCTCCTGTGAAAAGCACATTGGGATGGCTGGGCCAGAAATGGCATTGGAAAACGCTTTTATTTATTATGAAAAGTGAAATTTTACCCAAAAAGGTGAACTTACCGTTTAACTATAGCTCCTGTCTGCTGTGGCCTCGCTGTACAGAATGCATCTACCATGTAAAACCCCCAGATTACTATATACATACGGTATATATACTTTCTCTACACAGCTACATACTAGTCTGCAATATATGCAGTGAATAAATGAATATTGAGAATGAGTAATTGAGAAAGTGATCAAGGATACACAACACTGACACACACACATCACCAGCACAGAGGAACAATGTAATGAGCTGTACCTTTCAGGGCTTGAACAGGAGGTCCAAATGGATGAGAGCCATCAGCACAACCTGGGGATCATTAGACCAGGCAAGGGAAGGTAATCCAGACATAGAAACTCCTGGTGTCTGCTGGGGCCCTGGATCTTGAGGGCTCAAGGAGAAGAGAGCTGTGGCAGTAATTGGGCAACCAGGGTCAACAGACACCCAGCACAAAATTCCTGTTCAAGAATTTGGTAATGAAGGAAAGTTTCCTCTAGGATCACCACAGCAGCCATAAGAAATGATGAGGTCAGGTTCCCATATGATTCTGTACTGATACTATCCACAGACAGCCTATGGTGTGGACCCAGGCCAACCTGCTGACCCAATGGGGCCTGAGTTCAGTACAGGAAGGCTGCCTAAACCCCACCTATTGGCGATCCTGTTATGGACCACAAGAGTTCAGGTTATCACAAAGGGTATTCCTAATTTGCATCCATTCATCCTACTATACACACTAAATGTATTTGGGCAATAGCCATATGGGAGGGTCCCAAAATAGTTTTTGCTCAGTGGCTCTTTAGTGATGGTGTCTAAGGCAGTATTTGACCTGCTTTGCTTTGTGTTGCATACTGTGGACACAGCAGATCTTATTGAGATGTTTTTGCTTTCCAGGCAAAGTAGGTCAAATTAAAGTGGTTGGAAAGGTAAAAGGTTATTTGCTTTAATACACTCTCTGCAAAAACCTTTCCATGTCATCCCACCGCCCCTAAACACTTACCTGAGCCCAATCTTGATCCAGCACTGTGGCAGCTCTGATCTTCTCTCTTCTCACAGGAGGCTCAGCCAATGGCTCCCACTGCTGTCAATTAAATATAATCCTGTGAGCATAGAGCTGGGGGTGGGGCTGAGCTGCAATGTGGGTTACATTGGAGTGCTCAATAAGATAAACAAGATGGCGACCAGAGGCCTCTCACCACAGATGCCTCCTGTTTTGGTCCTAAGTGGTCCTTCGGTGGCTGGCAAACAGGTCGTCCATCTCAAACCCGCTCTCTGCAGCTGTAGGAGGCAGTGGCAGCTGGAACAAGTGCCACTTTGTATAATTGGAATAATGAAATGTAGGATATGACTGGAACAACAGTGTAGCACATGAAGCAAACAGCCTCTTACAGCAGCACATGTCTCTTTCACCTCCAACAGTGGAAACAGCAGTCATGGTACACAATACAACAGTACTCACAGTGGTCAGCCCCCCACTGTGCCTGAGCTCTAGGCAGCAAAGTCCTCTTGCAGCTTTCCTCCTACAGCACGGTTCAATAGCAGACATTATTCAGCCTCAGAGCCCTATACACAGGCTCTCAAGTTTGCAGCAGCCTGCATGTGGTCCTGAGCTCACTAGCACACAACCCAGGGAAATGTCACCTGGTTGGCGATACTGGAAGCAGGGGCGGAATGACAACTCATGGGGCCCCCGGGCAATGGGGGATCATGGGGCCCCTGTGTGCTTGCCCAAACTCAAAAAAGCCTATGAAAAAGGTACCAGGGACATGTCATGGGCCCCCTACTGACCCCGGGCCCTCGGGCAGTGCCCGAGTTTCCAAATGGTCAGTCCGCCCCTGACTGGAAGTGACATTGATAGGGTAAATGGCCAGCCGCATTGCCCCAATTGATGAGGGTGTTTGGTGGTGGCTGCTAGGGGCAAAGCATTGCAGTCTCTCTTGCCCTATCTAGAGAAGTGGATCCTGAGGAAACAAGATTTTTGTGAAAACGACGGTCCTAGATGCCAAAATATTATCATACTGGCTATATGAACCCCATGTTTTTATTTCTTTTGTTTTTATATTTTTGTAATACAAGATTATGGTTTTGGCTTTGTGTGATTTCTCGGTGGCACATACAAAGCCCCACCTACCTATATCCGCACCCCCTTATGGAAAGTGGAAAGGTGTTTTCTTGAATGTAATGCATATCTAGAGATGGTACCCACTGGGAAATATTACACTGAGAGCAAACAGAGCATCCCCATATAAGGTTATACACTGCTCAAAAAAAAATTTAAAGAATGCTTTGAAAACACATCAGATCTCAATGGGGAAAAATATCATGCTAGATATCTATATTGAGATGAACTGGATAATGTATTAGGAACATAAGGATGCCCCATCATTTGATGGAAATGAAAATGATCAACCTACAGAGGAGGGAATTCAAAGATGCCCCGAAAATCAAAGTGAAAAAATGATGCAGCAGGCTAGTCCATTTTGCTGAAATTTCATTGCAGCAACTCAAAATGGTACTCAGTAGGTTCTATGGCCTCCACATGCTTGTATGCATGCCTGCAATGTTGGGGCATGCTCCTAATGAGATGATAGATGGTGTCCTAGGGTATTTCTTCCCAGACCTGGACCAGGGCATCACTGAGCTCCTGGACAGTCCAAGGTGCAACCTAACAGCGTCGGATGGACCAAAACATGATATCCCAGAGGTGCTCTATTGGCTTTAGGTTAGGCAAGCGTGGGGGCCATTCAATGGTATCAATTCCTTCATCCTCCAGGAACTGCCTGCATACACATGAGGTCAGGCATTGTTGTGCACCATGAGGAACCCAGGACCCATTGCACCAGTGCAGGGTCTGACAATGGGTTCAAAGATTTCAGCCTGCTACCTAATGGCAGTCAGGATGCCATTGTCTAGCCTGTAGAGGTCTGTGTGTTCCTCCATGGATATGCCCCCCCCCCCCCCCAGACCATAACTGACCCACCACCAAAATGCTTATGCTGAACGATGTTACAGGCAGCATAATGTTCTCCACAGCTTCTACAGACCCTTTCACATCTGTCACTTGTGCTCAGGGCGAACCTGCTCTCATCTGTGAAAAGCACAGGGCGCCAGTTGCGGACTTGCCAATTCTGTTCAATGGCAAATGCCAATTGAGCTCTATAGTGCCAGGCAGTGAGCACAGGGCCCACTAGAGGACGTCGGGCCCTCAGGCCACCCTCATGAAGTCTGTTTCTGATTGTTTGGCCAGAGACATTCACACCAGTGGCCTGCTGGAGGTCATTTTGTAGGGCTCTGGCAGTGCTCATCCTGTTCCTCCTTGCACAAAGGAGCAGATACCGGTCCTGCTGATGGGTTGAGTACCTTCTATGGCCCTGTCCAGCTCTCCTAGAGTAACTGTCTGTCTCCTGGGATCTCCTCCATGCTCTTGAGACTGTGCTGGGAGACACAGTAAACCTTCTGACAATGGCACATATTGATGTGCCATCCTGGAGGATTTGGACTGCCTGTGCAACTTCCGTAAGGTCCAGGTATTGCCTCATGCTACCAGTAGTGACACTGACCCTAACCAAATGCAAAAGTAGTGAAAAACAGTAAAAAAAAGATGAGTAGGGAAAAAAAATGTCAGTGGCCTCCACTTGTAAAACCATTCCTGTTTTGGGGGTCGTTTCATTGTTGCCCATCTAGGGCACCTGTTTGTTTATTTATCACCAAAGCAGCTGTAACTGATTAACAAACCCTTTGCTACTTAACTGACCAGATCAATATCCCAGGAATTTAATTGACTTGATTCTATACTCTGATTAAAAAGTATTCCTTTAATTTTTTTGAGCAGTGTATAATAACTCTCCTTTATCTTTATATAAAGACAAGTTTTGTCTTTAGTTGTAGCTTATTGATAAAAGGTAGTTTACTTGTAGGGAATATCAGGAGTTTATTAATGCATTTAAATTGTTGATCGATCCACTATAGTTCAAACTAAGATGTGGGCAGTTTTAATGATAGGACATAATTTTCTGAAATATTTTCTTGGTGCCTATAATCTCTGGAGGTCATCCAGTATGCAGTTGCTGTGCCTTCAACCAGGTGGCTGGATGTAAAATGGCTTTGTTCTTTAGGTGGTTTCTTTGTTTTTATATTGGCTTTTAAACTATGCATGCCTATTGTCCCTTATAACAGACTGCTTTGTTTACTTTTACTTCTGATCTTTAAATTTGTCATTGACTTCCCAGCGTATTGTAATTTTACATATTTTATTTATAGAAACTGTTAAATAACAATTGCTTGTCTGCCTGAATCACCCAGACTGGATGCTGTTACAAGCATTTTAAATGACTTATTGTAATTATATTTAATATCCTTGGGTATAAAATATAGAATGATACATTTTAGGGCTTCTGTTGAGTCAAACACTTTTATGGATTTAAAGCTTTTTAGCATTTTAAAGCATTTTTAACTTTAGAAAAGATATGGGCGGTTAGTCTTAGGCTGGCCATAGATGGATCTTTTGATTCTTTTTTTTTTTTTTTTTTTTTTTTTTTTTTAAAAAAGGAAAAAAAAATTAACAGAATCCTCCATCCACACAGCAGAGGTGGAGGGAGGAAGCCTCCCTGCTTAGACATTTGTATTCTGACAGTGGGGACTCCACTGTCAAGATCTACTGATCAGCGGCTACAGTTGATCGATAAAAAATTTCCAACAAGCCTGTTTTATAGAAGTTGAACATTAGACTGACTTCTGCCAAGCGGGAGCAGCCATGTATGGGTCAGAATGTCAGTTCCTGCTGAACCATAGCCAGCTTTAGGATAAATGTTTTCTAACTGTACTTGTAAGCATAACAGGCTAGCTCTTCCACACAGGATAAGACAATATTCAAATTGCAAAATAGACTAGGAATATTTGATCATATGAGCAAGAAATACTTGGCATACAACTAATGAAAAATCATTCAGCTGTTTCATTTGGTTCCACATTATTCTTCTTATTAGTGCAGCAACAATTGAATCAGGACAGTTACCAATTTGCTGAATCTCTTTCCCTGACTATCTGCACAGTGATTTGTCTAATCTGAGAAGAATCACACAATTCAGGAACCAAGATAAGAGTAATTTATGAATGGCATGATTGTTTGTTTATAGACTGGAAAATCTGCATGCCTATACTATAGACAATATACATATTTGCAAATCTTCAGTTTGATTTTAGAATCTGCTTGGAAAAAATACATTAGACTTACCAAATATGTAGTACTAGAACCTACATGTTAAGATGTAAGTTGAATACAGTGTCAGTAGGCCTTAATGCTAAATAGTTGATGGTGATTACCTAAATAATAGCACGGTGATTACCTATTATACTTCAATGCTAAATAGTTGGTTGTGGAACTAAAGGGAATTTCATAGAGAGTACAATTGTAACATGTGACCAACTTAAATAATCTAACCAAGCCTTCAAAGTGCCCAAAGTACTTTGATGCCTGCAAGTACCTGAGTTAAGCTCATCAGATGTTAAAATCTGATTGTTCAATCCCCTTTATATCTACCAACAAGTGCAAGGACAGGATGGGGGGTTGGGTGTGTGTGTGCTTAAAGTGCAATATTAAAAATACACAATTCTTTTAATGCGCTTGAGGGATACAACCTGCACGCAATGTGGCGCACATATATGATATATTCCAGCAAAAGAGGCTTTAAGCTATTGCTGCCAAATGACAGACACTCGCTGCAACCCCAGAGAGAGAGAGAAAGAGTTCTTATACAGTGTCTGATGGCTTCACGCTATGGAATGGTTCTAGTCAGGTGCAGTATGCAAGAGTAACTGGGACTTGTGACTGGGAGAATGCCAAGTTTGCAGTGTTCAGGGCTGGCATGACAGGGTTCATAAATTCAGCAAGGTTCAGGCAGGCATCGATGTGCGGCCCCTACTCCTGGCTGGTGGCGTAGGCCCTCTTACTGCTGGTGAGTGGACAAGTGTCTCCTTGCTGTTAGTGAGTAGACAAGTGCCCCCTGGCTGCTAGTCAGTGGAGAAATGCCTTCTTGCTGCTGGTCTGTGGACAAGTGCCCCCTTACTGCTGAACAGTGGACAAGAACTATATGGGATATTATATGGGACAGGTGGCAACTCTAGTTACCTTCTTGTTCATAGCCTGTGGTTGGACAGTGAAGGAGAAGCAACAAACTGATGAGCTTATCCCTCAGCTCACTCCTCCTATCAGCATGTTCCTTGGTGGTGCCTCTTCCTCTACGTTTTACTGTGCAGGGAATTACCATAGACTGATAACAAGCCAGATTCAGGTGCTTACAATAGTTTTATTTCAAAGTTTGATGACCCTTTGTGTAAAAATTGAGAGATCACTCCTACAGTCAACTTGAAAGCGTGCATAGTGGTGGGCATGAAGGAGACCTTTTGGCTCTGTTACATGGAGGGGCCTTATGCTAATTTTTGATCGCAGAACCATATATAGTAAGGTTAGTCCAATGAGTACCATTATTTCATGTTGCATACAGTAAAAAAGGTTGTGATAACGGCACCTGTTCTGGGTAATGTATATTATCATTGTGTTGAGTAGGGAGCCATCCACTGGTTTTAACTGCAATTGCACCTGTTTTTATTATTCCCCTTCAATATAAACAGGAAGTGTTCATTCACAATAAAAACAGTAAGTGTTTGTTAAAAATAAAGATTTCCCATCTACCACTGTAGTTCCAGTTTAGTTTCCAGAAGAATACCAGTGAAGGCCTCCTTCCTCTCTTTGATACATATATGCCTGTAAGTTCTTCCATTGTGTTTGTTAAAATCATGTATATAGCTAGATCTCATTTAAATGTATTCAGTGTGATCTG